CAAGAGCTGCGTTAGATAATCAAATTTTAAATGCTGCTAACTTTATGGTTGTAGGGTTCGGCTGAGTATAGTTCCGGACTCATATAATACCTAAAAATAAAAATGAGGTTCTACACGAATGAGCGTTTATCAGATAACATGGGTGTGTGCCAAGGGGGAAACAGCTGATTGAAACCAGCCCAAAATCAGTGGAAAATCATCCGAAATCAATTGATTTTCAGTGATCCTCTGTGATTTCCAATGATTCCAGTCATTTCCGGTGACTTTACACATGGTGAAAATCGGAAAAAAACAAAAATTAGCTGTTTTACCCTTGGTGTGTGCCCATAGATGGCCTCTTAATAACAAAATTACTCATCAAGTTCTGCAGCCACCATCGCCAAACTTCAAGTACATAGTTTTTCTCCTACATAGCGAGTCAAGTGATATATGGGAGTGATGTTATCCAGATAAAATATTCTTTCAATTTTGCACGCGGAATAGTCTAAGCCACTACTACCAAGCACAGATATTTTTCTTTTGAACTATACTGCTGTTCTCCAAATCTTAATTGTACATATAGTAGACACTTACGGCGTGCCCACTGCAGTTTCGGCCATATCATCGGAGCCACTCAATATTCTAAAAATAAATCGATTAGAAGATGTGGAAGATTTAAAATACAAAACAGAATAATCAAAACAAGGTGCTCTAACCATTACCTATTACATTCATACTATTCACAACATCAATTCGTTGCGAATTATATTCTATGTATGTGGACCAGACATATATACAGAGTTATTGGTATGCGGCGGAAGGGGGAAGAGGTGTGGTTGAGAGTGAGTTCGAAAAGTAGTTGTACGGTACTCTAAACTCCTTAGATACCTAAGATACCCTAGGGTATCTTAGGTATCTTTGGTATCTAGGATATATCTGACATTTTTTGATTTTCGAGTGCTAAGTACAAACGTTGATCTGTAATCTGACAGTCTTGGAGCATGAAGTGAACGGATTATGGTTGATGGAACGTGCTATGGCCCCAGTGATCCACTCTTATGAAAGATTCGTATAATTTTTCTATAAGGGATTTAGAAGAATTTTAAAGAAGCCTTAGGAAAATCCTATATCCTCCACTAGTCAGAAATGAGTGCTATAGTGTAGAGAGCGATATCTCACTCTCAAAAAGTCGTATATTATGAAGGTTATTTCTAACCTTTTCTTTTAGTATTTTTCTTTCTGTTTGTTAGTTACATACCCTACCGCGTCCGAGTTATTTTATTTTCTCTTTTTGTGGACTTTTCCATCTCTTTCAGTTCATGTCCTTCTTTCACCTTTTATTCTCTGTTCAATAACCAGTAGAATATTCGTTGTTCTAGATTTTCTCGAAAAACGTTTGAACAATAAAAGATGAAGACCAGCGGTTTTCTCGGTACAAAAGAGAAAACTTCGGACTATCATTTCGTAAAAAACATGCTCAAAAATACCACCTGTAGTTGGTGTACCTACAGGGTCTTTTTTGATCTAAATGCTCTTTCAAAAATTTCTTTTACACCTTCAATTCAAATTTCATGATTGGATAGTCTAAAGCGTCTTCTATCGATCTGCGCAAGTCCGAGGTCGTAAGCTTGTGTCGTTTCTGAGAAGAGTCAGTTTTCCTGCGACCAACCCCTCTTCTTATTTTGAAGTCGCTCAAAAGAAATAAGGATATAGGTAGTCATTAGCGAAATTTTTCTTAAAATCACACTGGCGATCAAATATGAATTAATACTAAAAATTATGTAAAATCATCATAACGTGACCCAGACTCTCAGGATATACTTCACAAGGCAACGAGCTCTGCGTTAAATTAAAAACTTTTCTGCGTTTAAATAATCACGTTCTGCTTTTAAAAAGCTATAATAAAGATGGATAATGTCTGCTAAAAAATAGCGCAATATGAAGCGACTGTCATATAAAAAATCGTATAGCAATAAAACACACAAGGTTTTTTATAAAAATTATATGAAACATATTCTGCTGCAGTTTAGAAGAATCTTATCACCACAGCACACATTTCTGTCGCCTGAAGTATATAAGGTGGGGAAGGTTTACCGTTGACCACCTTGAATGATAGCCAACTAAAATTTGAAAGTCTCATTCACCTTGCTATACCAAAATCACCCACTTTCACAATCCCGTTTTTTGTTAGAAAGATGTTTTCTGTTTTCAAATCACGATGTAGAATGTTTCGATCATGCAAATACTATAAAGAAAAATAAACGTGACATATGAACTACCCAGGTCCTAATTGGCAGTAAACGATTAAAAAACGATATAAGTGGGCCATACGAGTTACTGTATACAAACGTCCGATTAAGGCATATTTTACATGAGATATGAGCTGTTTTATGTGGAGGAGGGGTGTACGGAGATAATACGCGCCATATGCGTATGCTCTTACGGTGAAATACGGACCGTTAAGGATCCGTATTTCACCGTTTACGGCCGTAATGATGCCATTTTTGTATCGTTTACTGCCGTATTACGGGCCGCAAGCGGTACCGTTTTGACAGTTCTGGGTCAGTGTTACTGATGTGTTTATATTACTTGTATTGCTGTACATATTTGAACGAACCAGTCAACAATTTGTTCTTCGCTAAACAATTGTTTCTTTAGTTTTTGTTGTTTTATTTTTGTGTACAAATCACCACCTGCACAGTAGGTCATGACAATATTTAAATATCTTTCGCATTGAAACGAATCGATGTATTGAACAATATTTGGATGTTGTAATTTGGATAATAATTTCGCTTCTTTCTCAGGTTCTCCGTCCGTCGTGTAAGTGTCGTGTGAGATATTCAATAAAAATCGTTTCATGACGAACTAAATATGCAGAAGGCATAATAAGCATATGAAAATGAAAGTGACTAGTAAGTTTTATTACCTGTTTACTTCCTCCTTGAACACTGACAACAAGCCACACTTCACCCTGGCTGCCTTTGCCAAGCATATTGATAAAGCGATATTTCTCTTTTGCATTCATGGACAGAAGAGGCACGAAAAAAAGAAGAAAACCAAATAACTATTAATTACTGGTGAAGCAGCCGTTGTTAGCAATAGGAAATCGGAGGTATCTGATAGTTTAGATTCTTAAACCAAGAAGAAACCATCATCAGCACATCTGGTTTGGAACTACTGTTGAAGAATAAGCTGGAGTCTTGATGGTAAGTGTCTATATTTACACATGCATAATGCGCTAGATTATGGTAATGCATAAATAATAAGACAGTTCAAAATGAAAAGAGCAGATTTTCGCATGAAAACTTCGATAAGTTGGTGCTGGTAAACATAGTCAAACAACCGTCTTGCATGGCGAAGATAGACTGGGAGCCATATTTATCTTTTTTGTGTGTTCAAGAGGTCTCTTTGTGATTGTTATTCACGGTAAAGAGTAGATAGGGATACTATTGGAAAGAATATGTGTAAAGAAGATCGGCTATTATGTTCAACGTGACTTAACTAAGATCATGAGTGACTTAATCTGAGTGACGTAACTATCACAGATTCACCGGGGCTGACCCATAGGACTAGTTATTTTCAGAGTTTGAAAAATAGGTCATTTTTCTCTTTTTCTCACAGTATAATACTGACAGTTTGAGCGTAGAAAATTATTCGATCTATTTTACATTTAAAAGTGATATAAGTTATCACAGTACTCCGGTATTGTCCTAGTGGAACTTCTCTAAGCAAGAAACGACCATCGCTTGCTGTTCTTGAGTCAGGAAGTTTTAATATGATATTTAGAATATTTAATAGTCTTTTGTAAAGAGTTATGTATCTTAATTGTAATTAAACATAGTTGTGGCAGAGCGCGGCAGGAGCAGCTTTCTCCTGTTCTGGCTGGGTCAGTACCACTATCTAATCTATTAGAGTGTATGCGTAATATGACTCACCATTAACGATACAGACACCATGCTGATACCCTCCACGCTAAGAGACTCAAATGAAGACGTTTTGGGATCGTAGTTGAGCTTTTCTTTAATGACAATAAGTTACCAGTTTTTGTCACTTATGTATACATATGCTCCTGATCAACCAAAAGATGTCGCATTCTATCAGGCGCTGATTCTTAAACAAAAGAACAGCAATAGCCCGAGCAAGCAGATAGCCCAAGCCCACTGTCTTATTACAAGCGGGAGTCGCTTAAAACATGCGCGGCAGGATCGCGTTCGCTGTAAGACTCGCGAACTCCCCTCATCCGCCCACCTATAGACTATCACTTGTTGCCCACCTGGGGTCCGTCCGGACCTCAAGTTGATAAAACAGGTTTAAAAATCACTGTTAAGACATGGAACATTTTTAATAACATATTCGGATTCAGCCTCGAATGATGAATATTTTCAAAATTTGTATTTTGAAATTTAATTTGAAATTTGAAAATTTAACTATTTTGAAAAGTAAAATATCTCAACTCAGGTAAGCGTTGCAGGCTTCGGACAAACGTCATTCGATAGACAAATAAAAATTGAACAAATACAAGGGTTTGACAATGTTTCCATATCACGTGATCCTGGCTTTCTCTGGATTTTTCCTAAATCAGGGCGAAAAACTCAGAATTCTGCCCGTAATTGTCAATTTTCTCTATCATAACTCAACGTTTGAGCAATAAAAATATCATATTCGGAACCAGAATCAAAAACTGAGTCGACTGATGTGTATCTC